TTTTTTCGTGACCGAGCGGTAAAGTATACCCCATGTAGTTTTCTCTACAAAAGGGTGGCGCAGGTTCGGTCTCTACCGGAAGATACATCTTCTTTATTTAGATTTCTCGAACGCTCAAGCTCATAGGCTCATAAAAATGTCGAATTCATTATATATATATATATATATATATATATATATATATATATATATATATATATATATATATAATTAATTCTTTATAGCTATCTATATAATTCTTATATTTATTTATTATAATTTTTCAATATAGGCAAAAACAAATTATTCATTACAAGATGCAACTTCGTTTCGGTGCATTGATTGCACCTCGACTGGTGAGAACCAAAATGGTTATTAACAATTCTGTCTGTAAGCAGGAGTAAGATGCAGTCTGCTTACAAACAGAATTGTTCATAACCATTTTGGTTCTCACCAGTCGAGGTGCAACTAAATGCGCCGAAACGAAGTTGCATCTTTGTAGTGAGTAAATTGTTTTTGTCTATATGAAAAAATTCTAAAAATAATTATTGCTCTACTATCGGCACTGAGCCCTCTTTTGAATTAATGCTGTGAACGTAAGAATTTATATATTATTTTAGTTCTCATTACATTCGGATATATAATTCTTATATATATTCTATAGATATAATTGTTGATATCTATCTATATAATTCTCTATAACTATATATATATATATATATATATATATATATATATATATATATATATGTGTGTGTGTGTGTGTGTGTGTGTGTGTGCATGGGTGTGTGTGTGTGTGTATGTGTGTGGAGTGAGAGAGTGAGAGAACGACTGGATGATCATACATATATCCTGTTAATATAAACGGTATATTTACTGGATACACGTTTTAACAGTATATGTACATCTACCGATCTGGCGTATTAAAGAAAATGTACGTAAGACTTTCTGTTGCTATGTCGATAGATGTCAGTTTCACTTTTAAAACATCATATACATATATGTGTGTGTATATGTGTGTGTGTTTCCTTGAATAATATATGTATATTGTCTTCACTTATTTTTATACTGACCCTTTCCAGTTATCTAATCAGTTTCTTGATGTTAAGATGAACTTTATCAAGGAAGGCGCCGTAGATTTTTTTTAACCTAAGTACTTTCGATCTTTTCGAAGATCATCTTCAAGGGTAAATTACAAAGACAAACTTATTGTAATTGTGGTAACATCTACATTTCGCTGTGATGGTGATTTTTAAAAACACGTGCACTGTGATATTTGGTACTTGTATTAAAGAATACTAAGGCGCCTTTCCTGTTGAATTTCATCTTAACATTAAGAAACTGATTAGACAACTGCAAAGGATCATTGTGCATTTATTTATTTATTATTATTATTTATGCATTTATTAAGTATGGAATAGTCCATTATTATTATGATGGGTAAGATCCCATAACAGAAAACATATTCAATGAAACATATTTGACTGAAGATATGCCGCTGAAATGTACTTACAGGCCGCGATGGGTAAATTGTCGCTATTTTAGATTTTTAATTTCACGCATGCGCATTGTTTGCTTTTTTATTTTATTTTGTCGACTGCGCAGTATAGTAAGGTCAGTTGGGCATCGTCTGTGAGAAAATTAGCAACATGAGGCAATTCATTCCGCCAAAATTTTGGAAACGGCATGCTATATTGCTTGGCATTCAAGCTGGAAGCTCCAATACGAACATTCCAGAGGATTCGGAAAAAGTTGGATGGATCTAATTGAAATTACGAAGGTGTTTGGAGTGCTCACTAGTGATGGCGACGTTATGACTTCATTCATCTTCACACAGGACCACAGATTCCACACGGAGGACTACATCAAGTGCCTTGAGGAGGTAGTGCTGCCCTGGGTCAAGCTGGAAGACCTGGCAACAGGACTCTGCACCATGCCACACAAGCAGGAGAACCCAGTTATGGCTGTCGGAAAATTTCCGCGACCACATCACCCCTTACATCTGGCAACCTAACTCCCTTGATTGTTATATTATTATGCGTGTGGTGCAGTTGAACGCGAGATCAATAAAAATCCTTGCAACTCCAAAAATGAACTGAAGACAAGGATTATGGCAGCATTCACCAACTTAATCAAGAAGACCGTTCAGAAGAGTTGCAGGAGATTCCGAAGTCGTCTGGAGGCCGTGGTTAAAGCCAGTGGCGATTTTACTGAATAAATTTAAACTTTAGTATATTCGGAGTCCTTTCCACCATCGTTTGTAGTTTACAATATATAAAATGAAATAAAACTCTAAGATATACAAATCTTTCTTTGCTCATGAACATCCGGGTGATTCGGAATGCATAACTATGTAAACTGATTGAACAGTTATTTTGACATAGATATGTTATATATATACATACATACACACACATATATATATATATATATATATATATATATATATATATATATATATTAAAATTACAATTTACTCGTATTGCTCCCACTGATGTCGGTTGAATGTGGCAGGTCAATTTGCAAAGAAAAATCATACTTGAAACCACGTCATAATAATGTTCAATCTATCTATATTGATTAATATTCGCCATTTTGCATAAACAAAAGTTAAGAAAATACTTCTCAGTTGAAAATATATAATATATACATATATCCACACATGTCGCTTTTATTAGTTTAAATTTTTTGTCGAAAAAGACGTGTCCGAAATAGACGCTCTGTTTTTTTTTTGTTTTTAGTTTTTTTTTTTTTTTTTTTCGTTTTTTTTAAACATTATGTATTACATCTACTGGCCTGTGCATTCGAGAAAGCGTAAAGAAAAAAATCTCTCAGGATTCGAATCTACGCCCCACCACTTTGTAGGAGAAAGTATTAATTGATCCTGTGTGGTTTCGACCACTCAGCCACTACATATTTTGGAGAAGTTCCATTTACCTTTTTAATGAATGCACGCTTCCTATTTCAGCGGGTTCGAACCCTGCCGGCTGAGCCCTTTTTTTTATTAGTATTTTTTTTTCAAACGCGACGGCCGATTGGTGTAATACACAACTGTTTAAAATGAAAGGAAAGCGGAGTCTTTTTAAAATATGAGTATGCACAAAAAAGTAACTTTTGAAGTAATAAAAACGTCGGATTAGAAATAAAGCCATTAATCCTTCAGAAATATACAGTGTAAATATTGGAACATATTAATAAATTGCAGACACATACGTTCTGGAAGATTTACGGTAATAAACTTTGCTGAAGATCCAGAAGAAATGTAAAAATTACACTGTATGTGGCATTGTCTAAAATATAGTGATTTTCTAAGCCCGGCTTAGATGTGGCACAAGGCCGAAAGTATGGAGCACCCAGTGAGGATTGAACTCACTACTCAGTCGTAATTGATCTAGCAAGACAAGCTTTCTAACCATTACACCACGTCGAGGTGCCCTTCTTATTTTCTAAGCGTAACTTAGGTATGGCACAAGGCCGAAGGTATGGGGCAACTAGTGAGGATCGAACTCACTTTTCAGTCGTAACTGACCGAGCGAGACAAGCTTGCTAACCATTACATCACGCTAAGGTGCCCCAAAACAGAAAGTTAGTCTGCCTGAATTATATTTCAATTCAATGTTTAACTATATATATATATATATATATATATATATATATATTGCTTTAAGCCGGGATCGAAACCCTACCTATTCGGCATCAGTCGGAGTTTCTAACCCTGAGTGCACGGCAGGGAAGAAAGAAAATAAATGCTTGTGGAAATTACTTGAGACCAAACGAGTAATTCCGTTATTTATTTATTTTTTTTTTTCGTATTTTTCCAATGAAATTTGACTCAGTGCACTTCGTATGTCCATTCCACGAAGTCGTTCCTTGCAGATTGACCACAGATTTTCGACTGGAATTAAATCAGTAGAGTTTCCGAGCCAGTCTATAGTACTTTGCTCACTGGTAAGGCTTGCCAGTGTGTTTGTGCAGCGTTACAATTTTTGTACTTCCTTGGAGTAACGTCCATCGCAGACAATAGTGGTAAGACAACTAATCGACATTCGAGACAATAGTGTCTGGGCGGGATAAAAATCTGATACAATCATGGATGACGCAATATTTTTAAGTCAAAACAAATTTCATCATACACCCCGAAAATAGATGCATATTACTGCACACCACTGCCGTGCGACGATAGCCTAGGGGTGGAATCTCGGACTGATACCAAATCGATCGGGTTTCGATCCCGGATTGAAGCAATCGGACGTCTAGCCTCACTGAAAAGCTGTGCTATGGAGAAACAGTCTGTCTGTGGATGACAATATATATATTCATAAATATATATATTATCGCTCACTATTCGCACGACTCAAAGTTTTATGCCAAACAAATTGCGTTTTGTATGAAAATATGTATATTTATGAATACGTACTGAACATCTTGGTTGTATAACAACGAGCACAGTTTTATCAAGTCCAGTACTTTATGTACAATTCATATGTGTGTGTGTGTGTGTGTGTGTGTGAGAGAGAGAGAGAGAGAGAGAGAGTGTGTGTGTTTCGATAAAAACGACTGATGACCATGTACTACGATTCTTGTCAATCGCCTTTAATAAAACATGTATAAAAGAGGGATTGCTGCCTAAATACACGATATATATATATATATATAACCGGTTTTATACAGACATTACACCACCTAACAGATACACTCATGGCTCATATATATGGTCGTATTTGTGTAAAATTGAGAAGGGGGAATCCTGTGAATTGATGTGTGCGTGTGTTTAAACTTCGCGTTTAATCCCTAATGAAAAGAATACCGCTGTTTGCGTGCTCTCTCTCTCTCTCTCTCTGTCACTCTCTCACACACACACATATATATATATTTTGTGGGATATATATATATATATATATATATATATATATATATATATATATATATATATATATGTGTGTGTGTGTGTGTGTGTGTGTGTGTGTGTGTGTGAGTACACTAGTCGAAAACGCCAAAGCCCATCTGCCTCTTCGGCACAGATGTCTTTTGTTAAGAATAAATTGTTTACGGAAATACATTCTTTGCATAATTGCGTTTCATTTAGAGAAGGCAATTCAAGGAAAAACTTTATTTAATACACACACTCTCTCTCTCTCTCTCTCTCTCTATTTCCTCCTCTCTCTTTCTCTTTTACTCTCACTCTCTTTCTCTTTCTCTTTTACTCTCTATCACTCTCGCTTTCTTTCTATTTTACTCTCTCTCTCTATCACTCTCCCTCTTACTCTTTTACTCTCTCCCTCTTTCTCTTTTACTCCCTCTTTCTCTTTTACTCCCTCTTTCTCTTTTACTCCCCCCCCTCTCTCTCTCTCTCTTTCTCTCTGTGTATCTTTCTCGCTCTCTCCACAGACAGACACATTTTCGTCTTTTTTCTCATTCTCGCCTATTGCCGTATTAAACACTGGTTGCAATCTTTCAGTTTTTCCTTTTTCTTTTTCATTCTTTTCCACTTTCTCGCCTTCCCTTTTTCACTCTCTCGCCTTCCCTTTTTCACTCTCTCGCCTTCCCTTTTTCACTCTCTCGCCTTCCCTTTTTCACTTACCGTATTACGCTCTTTATATCTCTTCCTTTTTTCTGTTTCCTTCTTTGACTTGATTTTTCATTCTGTCCCGCTTTTTCCTCTGTCTTTTTCTCTCTCATTATTCTCTTTTTCTTTCTCTCTCTTTCTTCCTTTTTATCCCTCTATCTTCCTTTTTTTCTTCTCTTTCCTTCCTTCCTATTTTATGTCCTTTTTCTCTCCCATACTATCTCCCTAAATCTCTCTTTTCATTTTCCCATCATTTCTCTCTCTCTCTCTCTCTCTCTCTCTCTCTTTCTCTCATTCTCTCCTCGTTTTCCTATTTCTCTTTTGCGCACAAAAACAGATGCAATTATCAAATCAGTTAGGCGAAAAAAATGTCTCTGCCTTTTGTTTGTTAATCGTAGCCCTGATTAATTAACCATTTACAAAAGGCAAGATTTTTTTTTAAATAAACATTAACTGACATATTTCTTGAAATCTTACGATAATTCTTTTGTCTGAAAGAGAAAAAAAAAACGATTATAAAAGAAATTCCTACAATTTATCAACTTCGAACTATTTTCCTGATTTTTTTTTTATATCTTGAAAATAAACATTAACATCGAAAGCTTCTATACTGAAACAGTTTTTAAACAATATTCTTTCTTTATTGTAAGATTGGGTAATTAACTTTCAGGTAAAAATCAGGGAGGAAATTAACAAACAAAGTTTGTACACACTTTATGGATACCAGCTGCATTTACCTCTCTCCACACACACATACACACACATACACACACACACCAACACAGAGTCCTGAAGGTTTCGTTCAAACATGAAACAGACCGTCGCCACTCTGTGTTGAACTCAGTGATGGGCAAGAAAATATCTTGAACGTTTTTGGCTTAACTTCTTTTGTTTCCTACAAGTTTTATTTTTGAGGTCTGCGTGCGTGGAGAGATTGTCCATAGTATTACTTTCCATGAACGCTTTTCGCAAATATTTTATACACAATCAATCTTGAAGGTTAACTTTTTCACAGCAACGAGGATTAATAATATATTTTATTATCGATATTTTGCTGTGCGAGAGGCATTATTTTAGCAGTGATTATTCTTTTTACTGCTCTCCGAATACGCTCAGAACATTCTGGCCGCATTCGTACGCAGCGGTAGTAATTGAAGACCGGTATATATATATATATATATATATATATATATATATATATATATATATATATATATATATATAAATGGTGGTACTCATTTGGAAAAAACCTTTTATGTTATATATATATATATATATATATATATTTTATGTGTGTGTGCGTGTATGTATGTGTGTGTGCGTGCGTGCGTGTACACAAATTTCAGATAAGGCGTATCTGTAAAGGACACTATAAAGACAAAAGGAAAACGTATTTTAGCCGATGCGTTTCATCCTGTGAGGAACTTTATCGGAGGACAAAAACGCGTCGGCTAAGATAAGTTTTCCTTTTTTCTTTATTCACAGACACACAGACACGCATATATATATATATATATATATATATATATATATATATATATATATATATATATATATATATATATATATAGAGAGAGAGAGAGAGAGAGAGAGGGGGAGGAGAGGGAGGGGGGGAGAGAATAATCATCTGGTTTTGCTAAACACATGCTTTTCTGTAGCTGAATGGTAACAGCACGACAGCATATGGGCTACAGGTTCGATTCCTGTCGGAGAGCGCATATTTTCTACGAAATTTTTCGAACACTGGGGCTAGTAAATGTAATTAATACTATTTAATTAAAAAACAGAGCATCTACTTCAACAAATTATATGTATTAAAATAACGTATAAACAGAGTATATGATAAATAATTGAATATATATATATATATATATATATATATACATCTCGTATAGTTGTATTTTGATTGGTCATCCCAGCTTATTTAACAGCTTTTGCCCTTATCGAGTGTTGTTTGATTGATTTGAACCTTTTAAACCCCTTTATTCTACATTCAACACCATCACTTGATAATGCAACAGAAGTGTTGAAACAAAATGGCTATTTTTGTAGCCATTTATAACATATTTATATTTTCGAATAAATAATTATATATATATATATATATATATATATATATATATATATATATATATATATATATATATATATATATAGCATATTCAGTTTTTGTAATGTTCTTACAGTTTTCCATTTTGGGGGACTAAGAAGTTGTCGAAACTGTCAATAGTAATTCTTGTCCCAAGCGCGTTCAGCCAGTTCATTAGTCATTTTCAAGAGCCCCGTTGTTAGTATGTTTTCTTGTGTTTATGTTCTAAATTGTATTGTATAGTGTAGTAGTAATTCCAAGCTGTACTACATAAGATGTGGGAGTAATTCTATGATGGGGCTGTTTTTAAACCACACCCAACATTTTAGTACCGTCGTCAAATAGGCTAAGGTTGAGACCGGCTTAGACCGTATTAAACCTTACGAAGACAAATAAATAGCTTCGATTATAACAAAGCATCTTTTACAATTAGATTTTCCAAAAATGACGGTGTTTTCTGCGATAATTTTTCGAATAGGGTCAGGTAGTTTTGTGCGGGTGCCTAAGTGATTTTTATAACCCTAAGATCAAAAAGATAGTTTGTCAATCTTCGACTTAATGTCGCCGGCGTATATCCAATTTCGTTTACTCCCAGACTTGCAGTCTTGTATAGGGCAAAGAAATTGCTAAACTACATTGGTGGTCTGATGTTTGGATTTGGAGTTAGGCCGATTGTTATTAGCAATTATGAGGTTAGAAGTTTCTAATTTTCTATCGTATACTTAGGTACTTCGATGAGATCGTTAAAAAAAGAGCATAACATAATGAAAAAGACACCAAACTTGATGAAAATAAAATTTTATCGTTATAATGTTTATGTTATTTTTAAGAGGAAAGAACAAGGTATTTTTAATTATTTTTTTAGAACTTTTCCTTCTTTTTAGAACATTCTAACTTTTGATTAAAAAAACTTATTTCTCTTTGAATCAGCGGAACTACTAAATAACATATATTTAAACATAATTATTTTCATCGAGTTTAAGACCCTCTTTGATCATTTTATGCACTTTTTAGAAAATTTTATCGGGGTACCTACGTATACTGTAGGTTTGCTGAGGCCAACGTTTGAAATGTATTGTTTTGTTTTTGTTATGCATATAAAGTTTAATTTCCAATTTATTTAATTTTTTAAGTTTCTAATTTAATTTATCTATTTAAAATAGGTAATTAGCATAAATAATTAATAATATAAGAGTACATTTATAATAAGACATTTTTAACCAACACCGTAAAAGTCATGCGACTGACAAAAGCTCTATACTTTTTTTTCCTTTCCTCATATCGTGAACTTTTCAATTAAAGGAAATACTTTATGGCTTTTCTTTGACATCACCGATTCTGGCGCTTTGGCGTCATTATCAAATGAAACATTTACATTTTTTAATCTTTTAAGTCGACCGTGAATAACTGAGACCGCGGATATGTGTGAACACTGGGCGATCATGTCTCTCTCTGACTGGCTTTTTCTTTTTATGTGCCATGTCCTTTTAGGACGTAGGCGATCATGACTCTCCACCTTCCTCTATCCCTTGCAGCTCTCAACAAGTTTCTTCCCTCTGCTTCCTCCCCCAGACCATGTTCTGTCATCCACTTGCTTAAGCCCGCCAGATATGTCTCGCGTTGTTTTCCCTTGTCTCTCTTTCCCTCTATTCGACCCGTGAGTATCAGATTCTCCAGGCCCTCATTCCTTCTTTCTTTTTATGTGTCATGTCCTTTCAGGGCGTAGGCGATCATGGCTCTCCACCTCCCTCTATCCCTTGCAGCTCTCATCAAGTTCCTTCCCTCTGCTTCCCGTGAGTATCAGATTCTCCAGGACCTCCTTCCTCATTATGTGTCCCAGAAACTTCAGCTAACACTCCCAGATGTTAAGTATAAGCCTCCTCCTTACTTGCAACCTCTCTAAGACCTCATCGTTGTTCACATGCTCGGTCCATGATGTCCGTAGCATCTTTCTCTAGAACCACATCTCTGTCACCTCTCTTCAGCTTTGAGAAAATCGTCTAACATTCGCTGCCGTTTTCCCGCAGGAGGTTACCATTTCTTTCTTTGGTTACCAATCAAGGCTATAGAACCCAGTCTGTCCTGATATTTGAATCATAGCTGTTACTTTTACTTTTACTTGCGGAAAAAGTTTAAAAGAATTTTAAAAACTTTTCTCTCTGAGTCGATTTTGTTTTTCATTCCAAAATTTTTTAATTGACAGAGAAACTTATTTTACGCTAAGAAGTCTTTTTGATATAAATTGACTAACACCTTCTTCAAAATAATGAGTTAATAATCAGAAAGCTTTTAAATATTAAGCTAAGTTAATCATAATAAGTTAATAATCTCAGGTTTATTCTTAAGCAGTATCTTATCAATCAGTTGTGCTGCCCGGGATGATCGCAGAATTTGCAAACCGTTCTAAACCAGTATTTCGTTTTTTGTTTTTGTTTTTCCCTTGTGACCCATTTTTAGCACACAAAATAATTTAGGCCACCATAGGCACAAGTAGAAATTCCATGTAACAAGAAATACATTTTATTTACAAAATCAAAATGTAGTAGAAAATATAAATCCTGACTAATGACTACACTTGCTCCTGGTGTCTCCAGGCCCATTTGACATATTTCTCAGGCCCACTTTTGGGTTTAAGGACCCACGCTGAGAATCACTTCTCGGAACAGCATTAAAAAATAGACATCTACAAAATATAAAAAAAAATTACTATTACAGACATTTATTTTGTTTTGATTGCAGAAAAAAAAACAGCAACAAGATGTTTGATAAACTAAACACATTTTAAAATAATTTTAATTTTCTTTTTTTAAATCGAATAGGTTTTTTTGACGTTCACGGTAAAACAGACCCCAATGCTATTTTACCGGTAAGTATAAATAATGTTTTAGAACTAACAATATATTATATTTGAGATCGTCAGCGCAGTTGTGTGCGCTGCGTATGCACGTCTTGAACAACATGGATTCTGTGGTTTGTGACTGTTGTCTTCAGTGGAAGTATATTGGCAAGAGAATCCTGCCCAATGGTAAGTTTGAGATTTGCAGAGACTGTTATGCCTGAAGTGCTTAAAATATTCAGAAAATTTCTTTTTATTGATGATGAATAAATGATTTTATCTTGTGTTTTAACAACTAATGGTG